GATTTACCCTCCCCAAACCTAGCGTGGAACCCCCAAAATGGCCATATCATATCCTTTTCAAAGGGTGGTGTTTATGGTCTTCCATGTCAGTCCTGGGGGTGCCTTTGAATGCATTTTAAGAGGAAGTCGGATTATCCCCAACCATGCCTAAACCCTAAACCCCCAAACCCAAAAACCCTATATAAAGCTCTAAACCCAAAACCCTAAAACTCTAAAACCCTCAACCCTAATAGTCGTAGGGCCCTCCTCGTTTAAGACTTGTGCTTGCCAGGGCTGCGGCATGGCGATTTCGCTCCACTACCTCCTGGACGTTTAGAGTTTAGTGTTTAGGGGTTTCGGCTGGTCGGAAGTAGTAAACCTCATAGGTTAAGCGTATTGTTGGGAACAGGGTCCTCTCTCTCTCTCTCGGGCAGGGTCCTGTTCCATGCGAGTCCCAATGGCAGCTGTTCCCACATGAATCCAGTCATAACCCAATGCTTTAAACAAAAACCTAAGCAGACATAGGAGCAAGGTTTTCCTGGCGACCACGCATGTCAGACGGGGACTTACACGAGACATTCATGGAGGCTTATTCTGGAATGAGTTGTATCTGCTCACCTTTGTAAAACAATCGGGTACACTCTTCTCAGGAGCAACATGTAATTTCCCTACATGGGGCCCCAGTATAGACCCCAAACATACTCTATTCCTTATTATAGGGGCCCCCAAAAGGTCCCCCTGTGTTCGGGAAGCCCTTAAGCCCACATACCTTTGTATAAACCCCCATAGAGCAAGTGCAGACACTTTAAAAGGCACACCAAATTCTGGGAAACCCCTACATCAACGTCCAGTAGCCGTGAACCCTCCGTGCACCTGCAGCAGAGATGGCAGATCCTGGCTGCAAGGCAGACGCGAGCATTGGGAGGCCCATGGGTTTAGGGTTTAGGTTAGTTGGAAAAATTCGGGTCCTATTTTTAGTACAGCTAAATTTTAGGTGCCGGAATATAGTCTGTAACTCAAAGAGGCGCAGAATTTGGAGAACCATCCACATGAAGGGGGGTTACAATGACTTGAATTTGCATGAGCCATAGTCTAAGCTCCTTAAAAGGAGTTTATGTAAGGGATTATATCGGTCACTCGTATACGGCTTAGGGATATTAGGCGTCCAGACTATAGCTCGAATAACAATGCATAACGACTCCGGACAGGGGTGGCGGAAATCCAGCAATCTGCAGCTATGAGTTTGAGCATCGGCTGCTGCTGCCACCTGGTGCCTTCCACAGCTCCTCATGGCAACTGGTCGCAAGACCAACAGAACAGTTATATAAAGGTATATTGGGTTTAGGGTTTCACAAATTAGGGAATACCTTTTGGTGGGTCCTTATAACAAGGACTATAGCTTTTTGGGGTCTATATTGGGGTCACACATCTCAGCATAGGCCTCTTCAGATTCATCATCTCCCATTGATGCCACGGGAACGTGGCTTCCGCTGGGCGCTGCTAACTAGCAAAAAAGACTCCTTCAATTTTGATATTGGGATAATGGAAAAGAAAATGGAAACTACTATAGTATATTGGGGCTGTAGTGGAAAGTGGTTTAGGGTTTAGGGTTCAGGGTCTACCATGAGATTCATGCGGCCATGATGACCTCGTGGCCTCGAGCCATTTTTTCCCGACGGCTCTGATTTCAGGGGGCGATTGTCAAGAGGCCTGTAACTACATTCACGGGAATGCAGCTAATTGCAGACGATGACTCCTGGGGCTTCCATTTAAAGCTAAACATGAAGAAAAAAACGCTTACAAATGGGAAGGTGGAGACCAGGTAGCTGCATGGTCCGGCTGCTGGTTGAGCATGGCAAGCGAGCTGCGGTAAGCACAAAAGCATTGAGTAGGATCGTCTTTGCCCAGTGATTATGACAGAGACACCTTAAGAATATGAGGGCGCCCATTCGTAATTTTCTGTCCCAACTTGCTAGTGGGCGCCTTTTTCACAGAGATCCAACGCTGACCCTTCTACGGTTAGCAAGACTACTTCTCGTCACTGCGCTTTGGAGCCATGTCGTGATCCGGTGATTCAGGCGTGGATGTTCTGAACGGGCTTCACGTGTTGTTTTTTACTGCCGTGATCACCACAACCGCACACCTGTACACGTGCAGGCAGTGTACTGAAGTGCCGCACACCAGGCTGTTTGTGTTCAGGGTTAGAGGTAAGACGTTTATGGAACTTGACCCTGGCGTGCTGCCTCTTCTCCAGCGGCTCTTGTCTGTCTCCAGCTGCCAGTTAGGGGACACTACGCTTGACTAAGCAGACAGAACCTAGGGGATATACCCGCTGTGATGCCCACTGACGAATGACGTGGGGCTTCACAGCTGCCAACAATTTCTGAGCCTTGGGATCAAGGTTCGGCTTCGACTTCGAGGGTGGGAATACGCGGAGTCTGACAAATACCCTAAACCTCTACACTCGTTTTGCTGCTGGGCTCCATGCACTGACTGTCAGGCAAAAGGATTATTTTTCAAACTGCCAGACCCAGAACATTACTTTTACCAGTACTCTTATGCAAGTTTGAATCCAAAAGCTCAACTGGCAGCTGCAGATGCCGCTGCTGGCTCGGAGCTACACTGAGACCATGACGAGCTACGCACACCAGCCGTTTCAGTCGACAAAGCCGTGCTATTCTGCATTACATTTTGGCCCTGCATGTCCCAAAAAGGGATGTTTTCTAGCCCATGCTAGAGCATCTTGCTTGGACGCAGGCACACAACATCATGCATAGCGCAAACAAAAAGGGGAATGCTATGGCTTCAATAGCCTGTGACAGCTAAGGTGTCCAACATAGACATGCAACGCTGGCAGGATGACTTACCATGATATGCCCCTTTGAAGCCCAATGTACTAGTGGGTAGGTCATGCAATTGTCATAACTAAGAAAAGAATGGCAAAGCCTTCGTACTCAAACACTTAGAGATTCATCATGAACGTTCTACTTACTCCACCTGCTTGTCGGCAAGCTTGCGTAGCCGAAACTGAGCTGGCATCCTTTGCAGCCAGCTTTTCTCCAAGTCCTTCACGCGCTGCTCACGCATATTGAAGCTAGCAAGGCCATGAGGGAAAGCCAAGTCATGCCGGGCCTTCCTTTTGTTCAGTGAAACTTGATTTGACAGTTTCCCAAAATTAGGGGTCCGTTTTCGGGCTTCCTAGTATACTATAGTAATTTGGGGTCTATGTTGGGGTTCCCCTATTTTGGGGAAACTCGATTTGACACACTTCGAGCTTGTGTCAGCAGAACCAGCCATCCACCACTACTACTGCCCAGTTTTACATAGCGAGAACTCTCCCTTTTCTGCTCACCACCGGCTCCTCTATTCACTTAGGAAGCAGGGCTGGCAATTTCAGGATGACGGGTGCGAACGTGCCTCCCAAACAGGCCCACTCATCTTTGATGACATGGGGGGTTTCTCATGGTCCGGGTCCCTGGAACGAGGGGCTTTCAGAAATCGGGGAAGGGGAATTTCAAGTGGGACCCGGCTTCAGCGAAGTACCCTCATGATTACGAGCCAGCCGCAGTCGCCACTACCTCGGCAAGGACTTACTGGTGCTGAAAGGGATGTGGGGGATGGAATATACTTACATGATTTAAGATGTTATAGAGGCATTATTATACGGACCCAGTGAGAAAAATACTTTCCGATGACTACTCTGGGGCCCCGTTCGTGAGCCTAAACCTTGCAAGAACGGCCTAGAACTTTTGAAGAGTGTTTGGGGCATGGATATGGCACATTATTAAAATGTTCAAGCCCATGTTGGTTATGGATTATATTACGGTAATATCTAAAGGTACCAAAATGGGACACCAGTTTCGGGAACTACCATGTGGGTGGCTCTCAAAAATATAAGCCCTATTATGGCACCTGATCTTTAGGGGTACCAGAATGGGACCCTAATTTTGGGAACTACCCATATGAAAGATTGGCATGTGGCCAGCCACGCAGGTCGAGGAACTTGTTTCCTGACTTCAAACGAAGTTACTATCACGAAGCTCTATGATTTAACCCTAAACCCTAAATACTATATACCCATATTATGGTTCAACTTCATTTAAGTTCCTTAGCAGCAACCTAGCTTGGGTCTGAGAGAGTACATCACCAGCAAATCCTGGCACACACCAGCTTGAAGGCTCACGGATGTTGTCCCCCTTAAGTAGATAGAATATGGGGTATATTATTGAGGTTATATGGGGATAATGGAAAAGGAAGTGGAAAATATTATATTATAATAGGGTATATACTGGGGTTATGGCCCCCCTTGAGTAGATAGAATAAGGCTTTGGGTATATCCTTTTTACACATGGAGCTGAGGTGGATGCCAGGATGAAGGAAGGCCACAAGACTCGTGCTTTCTAGCCTGAACCCTATACAAACCCTAAAAGGGGGACTATAGTTGTCAGTGGCGAGAGCAGTGCGGAATCTGCCTTGTAAGTATAGCCCTCCTACACACACTTTTACAAATAGTTGTAGAACTACATGAGCTATACTCCACACTCCTAGTATCCCCCTTACTCATCCCTATAGTATAGGGTGTAGGGTTTAGGGTCTACTCCTAGTACCCCCCTTAACAACCCCTATAGTCATCCCCTATATAACCCCTTTAAGGAGTTTACAACTATAGCTCACATGGCATCAAGCAAGGTAGGGCTGACCCTTACACCCTAAACCCTAAACCCTAATGTAGACCCATGCTTAATAACCCCCCCTCCTTTTAAGGCCCAAATATTAGGATCCCTATTATAATCCCTATTAAGGGGAGCGGGTTTAATCATGGGTCTGGGTTAAACCCATAAACTTACTTGATTTCTTCCAATATCAGGAGGCTGACTCCTCTTAATCTAAGTTACTGTATTTGGGAAATCCTATCAAATACCATTGTATATATATATACATATATACACCCATTATGGTAACTTAACTTAAGTTCCTTGACAGCAACCTAGTTTTCCCTCCCTTCGCCACAATGGCCTTCATCATCCCTTGCTTTCATGATCTGTGGCTCTTGCTATGCGGAGTGAGACCAGCAGACTTCCACTTGCTTCATCTGCCAAGCTCCTGTGAGGTTGTGTTCTTCAATGGAGGGAGGGTGGGGGGAGAGCAAGAAAATCCGGAAGTTGGCTCATTTGGGTCTTCTCAAACGCATCCTCACACATCCTTGCAACAATGATGTAGAGGTCCGAATGCCTGGTCTTCTGAGCATTCTGCACTTGAAGAAGAAAACAGCTGTGGAAACCTTGTAGCTGTAATTGCGGGTTTTGCAGTTGGGAGGGGATTGAATTGCTGGAGCTGCAGTCACAAAACTCTTTGAAATCAAGACGTCCGCGCAAACGGCTCATCTGGCTCATTTTGGAAATCCAAAACCTGAAACTCTTTCTGTGCTCTGCTCCCACCGCTTCTGCAAAGGTTTGTCCAAAGCCCATCCTAAACCTTAGCTTCTGCCGCTTGCCTGCATGCTGAACTCCTACTGGCAGAACATCCTATCCAAATACTCTACTACCAGGAACTCACCGGGACTTTTTTGGCGCTGCTCCTGAAGTCCCACTCCTGCTGTGCTTCTGGGAGGCAGCAACAGCTCTGCCTTGGGGACTCTTGAGACAAAAGGAACTACAAGCTGATTGATTCATTCCTCGGGCTACGGTGGATCAGCCTTGCCTCAGCACCACCACCAGCACCAGCACCGGCATCCAGACAACGACTGCAACTGCCTTCGTCTGCGACCGCGCCGACAACTATGGCAGTGCATGCTAATGGGGATGAGAACCAGGACGGCGCAGGACGCCGAGGATGACAATGACAAGGATATTGGCTCGGACAACTAGGGCAAGAACGATTGAGGACGAGGACTGGGAACAGGACAGAAAGGAGGACAAGAGCGACGAGAAGGAGCAAAAGGAGCATAGGGGACGAAGAGGGAGGAAGCGGTGGAGAGGGACGCTACAAGGATACCACGACCACCCTGGCGCTGACAACCACACCACTACCACCAAAAAGATAAACATGATGACGAGGACGCTCATGCATTACCTTCATTGCTGTTATACTGGTCGTTTCCCTAAACAAGGGGACCCTAAAATAGACCCCAAAATGATTACTACAATCCTTATTAGGGCCACCCAGCACCCATAATTTTGGTAAAGCTCTACAGGCCCTAAACCCTATACACCTCTGTAGAAGCCATATACAACGCCTGGAAACCCCTTTCAGAGGTACCCCTGATTTGGGAAAATCCCGATTGGGCACCCGGCTCTGAGAAGGAGTGCGCCTCAACGGAACGCGGGGGCTGCGCTCGAGCGGCCCTGAAAGACTTTGGAGTTCTGGGTAACCCACTCCATTGGGGTGATATTATGGTAATATTATGGTAATATGGGGGTAATCTAGGGTAACATCCTGGAGCCTGGGTGTCCTACCTTTTTGGGGGCTATGTCCTACATATTCGTATAGCATATTAGCCAGAGTCTACACTCCTAGTATCCCCCTTCATAACCCCTAGAATACTCCCCTGTTGAATCCATTATGTAACCCCCTTTAAGGAGTGTAGACTATGGTACGCATGACAGGAAAAGGTAGGGCATCGGTGATATAATATATAAGTATGGTATAGGGATATATATTCCCTCATTCCCTATTCAGAATTTTCAACTCTACCCCAACTAGAATGCAGGGGGAAGAGGTTTAAGCGTTCCAGGTGCGGGGGCCTTAGGTTCAGGTTTTATGTAATGGTTGTAGAGCTTCCTAAAGGCACGGCTAGCATGCGCAATGTTGCCATGAACTGCTTTCATTGTCATCCTCAGCACTGCTACTGGGACTGTTTGCGTTCTCATTCCCCGGCTGTCATATGAACCACAGTCTAAACTCCTAGTATCCCCCTTAATAAGCCCTATAGTAGTCCCCTATATAATTCCCCATATAATCCCCCTTTAAGGAGTTTAGACTATAGCTCATATGAACCATAGTCTACACTCCTAGAATCCTGCTTAATAACCCCTATAAGGAGTTAAGACTATAGCTCATATCATCACATCCTGTTGATGTCGCTATCTTGCTGCTGCTATTCCCATTGATTCAGGGCTTTCAGGACTTAGGACATCCCGCCAAGGCATTCGGTTTCGCAGAGCTTTCAGGACTTCAGGACTTTGGTGTTCAGAGTCTGAGGGTGGAGCGTTTTCTCACGCTCCGGGGCTCCAAACAAAATCCGCCTAAACGCTTCAAAGATACCATACGTTACGACAGGCGTGTTTCACGTACCATGTACGCGTTCAAGGCTGCTAGCAACTGCAAAGATGTGGGAGCCAGGGTGGATAACAAGCTTTTCATTCAGCGTCGAGGCTTTCAGCGAGCGTAGAACATGTGGTCTTCGCTCGCAACACTGTGGGCAAGTCTTGAGTGTGACAACCTGGCACTGAAACCAAAGGACTGTTGACCCCTGCGCGGTGTGACATTGCATGCAGCGGTCTGGGTAAACAGCATAAAGCGGCATATGGCTGTGGGACTCCTTTAGGGTAGTGTAGGAAAACACACTTGAGAGCTCCCCATTTGCTCGTGGCCTTCCAACTCGAAAGGTGACGTTGAGCTTGGGAGATCCTTGCAAATCCTCTGCCTCACCAGAAAATCATCACGTCTGCTGTCTGGCACGGGTTGAAGTGTTCAAATAACCCAACAGCGTAGCAAACCGCTCGCAGAAGCATGACGTCATCAAACAAAGAGCAAGCACTCTCCATGCATCGCATGCCGCTCAGTACTTTCGCTGAGACCTGCCAAGCGGCCCAAAACCCTCCAACGCTTCTTTGACTCAACACCCCATTCAGGAGGTTGGCACGTCAATAAGAATGCCCCTGGCATCTGCAGGCAAGTCACAGGTGCGGTGGCTGAATCCTACTCCCACACTCTTTACTCTTTACAGGGGCCTCGCATTTCAGCACGATGCAACCTCTGCCCTTCGCTTTCTTGAAGCCTGGGTCATCGCTGCATCACACCGCCATTCTTGTAAAGTATTGCTTTGAAGAGTGCTACACATGTTCCCTTCAATGATCACTTTGCATTGAAGCTATCCTCATTCCCCAAAAACCTCGCCTGATTGCAAGAACCCATCTGAAAAGGAACCCGTTTTGGTGTCACCACAAAATGTTGCCAAGTGACCCCCACCACGCTTGTTGTTAATGACCACCTCAGACAACAGCCACGTGGAAAGGGGCTTCAGTAAACTGGTTGCTGTCTCTCCTCATCCTGGTCAAGTTTAGGCCAAACATATCATTTTGGGGTCGCCTTAATAAGGATTACAGTATATTGGGGGTCTTTGTTGGGGTCCCCCTATTCAGAGAAACTACCACATGGCAGTTGTACCTAGATCGGACAACCACGGCATCACCAAGAGTCATAAGCAGGATGCTAAACAATTCTGACAAGGAGGAGCGGCATGGGAACATTCGCACAGACCCCGCAAGTTCAGCACCTGGAGCTACTGCTGTGGAGCAACCCATAGGCAGGCTCTGACCCAACGCAACATCAAAAACCCTGCGAAATGGCAGCGACTGAAGGCACCGGCCTTCGGTTGGAGAGACACCTGGTCACAGATGAAGCTAAGTTCATGAGCCTAAACCTCATTCATAGTTGGGCTGCGTCAACTTAGCTGTTATCTTCCGATTCGATTGACTGGGTGTGGCAGTTGCCATACCGCCAAGACTCCTTTTTGTCTAGCCCGTCTAGCCCACTACCAAGCAACCATCGTACTCTCGGAGTGGGGATGACGACGATGACAGTGACATCATCGCCGTGGTTGCAGCAGTAGTAACAGCATAGTAGCCATGGACATCGCAGCAGCACTCATAGCGATGATACTGTAGCATGCTATACTGTACTATAATAAACTCTCATATACTCTAATATGATATAATATGCTAGAATGTCGTCGTATAATATAACTCTATGGTATAGTATGTTTAATATACTGTGTACATATACATATATATGTGCCAGAATAGCAAGCTGTACCAGCGGTTAGCAGCCTTGAAGGGCATCTTGCCGGCGCCTGGAAATTCCAGCCTCCGGTGCTTGTGCTTTAGATTCAAAGCCGCATGTCGCGAGGGAGATGAAGGGATTTGAGGGTCTAGAACTTGGGTTTAAGGGTTGAGGGTTTGTATATATATCCTATAATCCCTATATAACCCCAATATATACCCTACAATCCCTATAGAGCCCCAATATTTCGGGTTTGAGAGAATTTGAGGGTATAAAACACAGCCCGGAAGCGAAGCATACACATCTTCATGGCGAAGCCGGACTCATTTTCAACGCAGCAAGACACCAGACATTAATATATATAATAGTATAAATAATATATTATATGACATAATATATTTAATATACTATATATATATATTGTATTAATACCTCTGAACCTGGCTCACCCAAAGAAGAACCATAGATTGGAGGGTGTCTACAGCTGGGGGTCTCGAAAGCTCCAAAGAGCTAGCTTTCGCGACAAGAGGCTCTGCTAAGCCTCGCCCTCCACTGCTTGTGCCACAAGAATCCAGTCCGCTGCACCCGAAAATCAGTCATGCTTCTTAGGAGACCCGCTTCAATGTAAGATCGCGGCATGAAGATGGAGGACACGAGCCGCACCTGCGGCCAGGATTAGGCATGTTCAGAATACTCCGGGTGATAAGTATCCTGCTGGGAGGCAACCAAGGGCCCTTCTCAGTTTAAGAGAGCATTCGCGAAACGCGGCCCCACTGAAACCCTGGGCCGTTTTGCATCCAGCCTGCAACAACCTAAACCCTAAAGCCTTGAGCCTTTGCTTGCACCTGCCAGGGGCCTCAGACACACTCAGGCCGCGGCAGTTGTTGTGTAAAGCCTGAGGTCGGGATTATCAAGACAGGGGAACCATGACCCTGGAGATATACGTATAAGAGCTGTGACAATGGCAATGTGTTCCCGCGAAAGTATATGAAGGGGGCTATTCTGAATCCAGGCCCCCGTGCTTTAACAGCAACCTGAGTATGTCTGTCGCAAGGATTTCTTCAAAAAGGAAATTCTGGGGCATCACAACCTACATACTTTGAGATTCCATGGCCGTCTACCCCTCAAACCCGTAGTTTAGGGTTTGGGGTTTAGGGTAGTTTAGGTCCCATGAAACGCGCACCCTCATCCCGGAACACAGAAGCACTCTAGGAATGAATGCTTGGACATTCAGAATCTTAGGCAACAGTCCGGAAAGCAAACGAAATAGTAGATTTTCGATTATCCCAATATAACCCTAATATTACCCCAATGGGTACCAAAATCGCGTCTGCTCCGGTCTCCCTGTCCTTGTTGCTGCCATGGCCTTGCCACTCTGCCCTTGCCTCCGTGACCTTGACCCCAAAATTAATATCTGTACTAGTACTACTATTATTACGATTCTTATCATTATGACCATTATTTATTACCACTACTATCCACTACTATTGTTACTATTAGCTGCTGACCAAGGTACTGTCGACTGTCTACGCTCCAATGCACCTGAAGGAATGCTGCGAGGCTTGCCGGAATCTTAGGAAGCTTGGGATGACTAAATTCTCAATTTATATACTCTCCAACATATACCCTATATAACCTCTGCATAACCCTCCACATCCCCATGTCTGGGGGGGGCCATGGAGATGATATCGGAACACAGCAAGCAAAGAAGCTAGAGTGTGACTTGAGGGTCTGAGCAGAGTTTATCTTCAAACATCTGTCAAATTTGCACCACCTGCTGCAATTTGCACCCTACGCTTTCTCCTCCCGAGGCACTCACGCCTTTTCAACACCAGAAGATCAAGGCCCCCAATGCCTACAGTCTCCCCTAAGTAGATAGAGTATGGCTTTGGGCATATTAAAATGAGATCCCCATATTCTATCTACTTAAGGGGGACTATAAGGCCTAGACGATGCAAGGCTGAGGCTGCAACATCCCAGATGCCACTAGCAGCTTCCTGGCACCACAACCCCGGATTCCAACATTGGAGGTTCGCGGGCAGCTGGTAGAGATATGGCTGGCCAGTAGTATGGGAAGTTGGTTATAGCTGTGGGCCTCAATGTTGCTTGCTCTTGCACGCTCGCATGGAAAGTCTGATGAGGTTCCTGTAGAAATCCCACGCGGTTTTCTGCTTCCATTTTGGGCCCTGTGTAACCGGATTCTCGCTAGGAGCATTTCCTCACGCGACTTGCCAAGCTTTGGCATACTCGAAAGGCGTATCCCAGAAACCCCAAAGCCCCTGACATCGGAGCACAACACTTGGCTAGAGAACCTCAAGTTTAGGGTGTTGGGGTTTAGGAAGGATGCTAAACCCAGAACGAATGTCGTGAGACTCCTGCAGCCATGGTGAACTAAGGCTTGCAATTTCTGCCGTATTGAGACCTCTGAATGTCACCAACCTGTTAGAATCCAAGAACTGCCCAAGTGTGGCAATGCTCATGGGAAATTCATCATATAAGCTTATTGTGCTTTGTGGTTGCAGTATTCTTCTCCAAGACATGCAGTTTCAACAACAATCTAGCTAGATCCGCTATCCTACCTTCCTACTTCCCAACAGGCTCTCTTGCCTCGCAGATGATCTGACCCAGCTGCAGATTGCCACGCGGTGGCAGGGGTCCCTCTACCGGGGCCTCTGCAGGAACCTGGTAGGGTCTGGATAAGAAGTTCAGAGCTTCAATAGTTTCATCATGACCATAGCCAAGCACATTATACAAGGTCAGCCATGTCTGGACTGCAAAGGCCAGCTGATACACAGGTTCAGACAAGGCGAGTTTGAACATGACTAAAAATCCTGCAATTTTCCAGGAAAAGCCTCCCCGGCCTCAGGTGATGGAGGCTCTGCCAGCACAGGCGCAGGCATCGGGGGTGGCGGAGGGGGGAACCTGGGATGACAAAGAATTAATGTGGCTGCTCATATAGGCACCCAACCGTACATATGAGCTCTAATCTAAACTCCTCCAGTAGTATCCCCCTGGAGAAGCTCTGTAGTAGTCTTCTGTAGAGTCCCTATATAACCTTAGACTATTGTACATATGTTTTCACCTGGAGCAGAGCAGAGCACTGGCAAGCATCAAGAGATTCAACAGTGGCGGGGCGCTTCGGCGATGCGAGCTCGGTGACGGGCACCACCGAGGGCACCACTGAAGGTGCCAGCATCTCTTCCTTGTTGATTAGGTCCCCAAAATTAATAATTAATGTGTTGGCCATTGCGGGATGTCTACATGCAGGCAAGCTGCTAGGAGGATCTGCGTCTTTGGGCGGTAGATCTCTTGCATTGGAGGGGAGCCCATGGAAAGCGTATTGTCGAAGGTAAATGCATCGGGGATCCCCGGCAGCAGGTTCTGCGGTGTATGCATGGCAGGAAGCGGACATCCCAGCGGCCCGGGAAGAGTGCCGGGAAGTGGGATGAAGGCCGGTGCTGCAGCTGACAGCGGAATAGGCAGATCCACATCCTCGAAACAGTCTGGAGTCACAAAGACCTCTAGTGGCAAAGGTGGTGGGGCAGCCTCTGTCTCATCAGCTGCGGTGGAATCTTCGGACCTGTCGGTTTCCGACACGAACTTTCCTGAAAGCCCACAGAGCCCCTCCAATCCAGGAGGGGGATCTGTCTGGGCCTTTTCAAGCTTCAGTGGCTTCGGCGCAGGAAAGTCCAAAAAAGTGTTCTTTTCGTAGATGTCGTATCGCCCCTCCATGAACTGTGGCAACTCGCCTTGGTTGGAGATAAACTATTGACACGACTTCAACACCAGACAGCTAGCTAGACACGCTGATGCTGCATCTGAAGCACTCTCCGCAGCCTCTGCCATGCCTGGGGGCTGGGAACCCGTCTCCTTCCACGCCATCCACTACTTGGGCCGCGACGTGAAGAGGGAACACCGCAAACCACACAACTCTGCGTAGAATCAGACGGTGCAGAGAAAACAAGCTAAGCATCTCGTGCCCAGCTCACGAGCACGTGAGAGCCATGTTTGCTTCTTGATCGCCTTAACGCTTCCGCCATGCAGGGTGCCATAAATCAGCAGCTAAGTAGATTCGGCTTCTTGCAAATCTGGCAATGTACACTGCACTTTCCGCCCAACAGGACGAATTTGGATGCTCCCATCCGCGTGAGTCGCACCATGAAACAAACATTTGCGCATCGAGCACACGCCTTGGGCGGTGTACCTAAAAAGTGCAGCACGACACCACCTTCCCAACAGCCTTGCCAATGTTGAGAGGGACTCCTTCATGTTGTGTTCTCAGCTCATGCTGCAGCCCTATGAAGCTCCCATCTGCTATGCCTGATGAGGCCATGGTAACGCCGGAACTTTGGAACTCTGCTGACCACAGCTGAACTGCTCAAAGCCTGGTACTGTGTGAGCTCAAGAGACGCATCTGGTGCTCACGCCCTCCATAAGGTTCGGCTAGTCCTTGTACAGCTAGACCCTAAGGTGACATGAGGTCTTTGGGTCGCTCGGATACAGCGCCTGGATCAAGCTTTCTGCACAGCTGGCCAGCCAGCTTGCTAAATCCATGGCAAGCAGTAGCTGCCTCCGGGCTTGCAGATGCCCCAACTACAGAAAGAGCGGAGGATTGAGCACGCTTACGCGTTGTACGTTGTGACATGGGGCGCTGACTTTGGCAAACAACTTCTCTTCAGGTCTCTAGTTGCAAAAAAGCAAGTTTGCCAAACCAAATACTACGGAATCTCAGCGTCTTGGCCCTTTTACTTGTCAAAAACGGCATCAACTATATCCTTTCCTCCGAAACTTGCAGGCACAGCCGGCATCATCGCAGGCCAAAGGCCGATGACGACTTGATCTTATCGATCGCTGCAATCGTAAGCTCCACCTCGGCCCGAGCGCCGCATGAGTTCATGTAGACCCCAGATTCATAAACCCCTCCTTTTAAGGGCCTTCATGTTAGGACCCCTATTATAATCCTTATGAAGGGGAAGGAATGTTTTAATTAAGGGTCTACATCAGGGTTTGGTGTTTCGACGATTTCCAGGAGTCAAGATATGTGGGGTCCTCACAAGTCCTAACAGGCAGGGCGCTGGTCGGGGCAAAGCATTGAGGCATGCTCCTTGTACATGGCGGACATCTGCTCAGGATCTTCAGGCGCTTCCGCTCCAGCTACCCACCCATCCCGATTCCTGAACTTACACTGTGGTACGTAGCTGGGGCGCACACGCTGAAATTCTCAGCATTTGGATTGGGACGGTAGTTGCCCTCCGTAATTGCCTGAACGATGCCTGCCACGTGATTGCGGAGCAAACGCTGCCTTCCTTGCTTGCACACTTCCTAACGCGCCTGCGTAGTAGAGGCACACAGACCAGTATCATTATCATGCCTCCGACATGCCGGGGCCAGCTCCCTAGCAGAAGTTGGAGCGCTCTCAGCTCAGTAGCTACTACGTACAAGGCATCCACAATTTGCCGCACACCTGAACCGGAAGGCGTGTGGGCACAAACAAGTCCATCTCCAGGCTACTGAAAGGAAAGTGCTTCGCAGAAACATCCCAATCACTGGGACCCGCTTATTCTTGAAGGCCCTACTTCAAAGCCTAAAACCCCAAAATCCTAAACCCTAAACCCTAAATGGAAGTTTCCATTTTCAATCCCAACAGAACAAGAGGATCCCATGCTTATTTGCGGCATATCCTAAGGGTGAAGCGGCGTGAGTCACACGCGTGCCTGCTTGTCGGTCAGCCATGTGCCCGAGCTGTTCCAAACCTGGCGGCTGAGCGCGATTTCGATCGGGGATTCTTGACATGGAGGTTTCCCAAATTAGGGGTACCATTTTGGGGGTCCCAATAGTAAGGACTATAATATTTTGGGGTCTATATGGGGTCCCACTATTTTGGGAAACTACCACATTTGAGTTGGGGTCCTGTGTTCGTCAAAAGCGATGCAGCGGATCCCAATATGCATGCCAGACGCTCTGCCAAATTGCATCTTTCGGCGTGACCCTCCATACCCGCGACGAGGAATCTACAGTTGATGTGCTGACATACTGTACAATTTTGCTCCGGCTTGTCCAATTTTTTCCGATTACTATTATTGCTATGACTACTATTGGTGCTATGATTACTATCATTGTTGTTGCACGGCATCTAAAGCCCGAAGCGCCATCTGCCTCGGTAACTCGGGTCCAGGCGGGAGTCCTCCCAACCCCAAACCCTAAACCCTACTTATCTGGGCTGCTGTTAAAGAACTTCAATTAAGTCACCATAATGAGTGTATATGGTTATTAGCATGGTTTCCCCAATATAGAGACTTAAGTCAAGTTCTTCAACAGCAGCCCAGTCATGTATTGTCTCGTCGTTTTTCATGTCACTTTTCACTCTGACACTACTCGAAATAACAGTACTAGAAGAAGCGGCAGCAGTAACAGCACTAGGGGGAGAAGGCGGCAGCGGTGGCAGGGGCGTCGGCGGTATATTATTATTATTATTATTAGTATTATTATTATTAGTAGTAGTATTATTATTATTAGTAGTAGTAGTAGTAGATAGTAGTAGTAATAGTAGTAGTAGTGGTGGTGGTGGTGGTGGTGGTGGTGGTGGTAGTAGTAGTAGTAGTAGTAGAAGAAGAAGTAGTAGTAGTAGTAGTAGTAGTCGTAGTAGTAGTAGGAGGAGGAGTAGTAGGAGGAGGAGTAGAAGCAGCATGGGTTGTTGCCGCTATTGCTGCTGCTGCTGCTGCTGCTGCCGGAGTATACTAAAGGCACGCCCTGCAGTGTGAGCTCTGTTTGCGTGTGCGGTGTCCAAAAGCTGATCAATGCTCCTAGTCGCACGCAGAAGTGACTCTCGCACCCAAAGTAGTGCTAGTGGTAATCGACAACAATGCATTGAAGCGGAAGCCCGTCCAACAGGAAGAACAGGGCGCAATCGGTGAATGAATTGCAGTTCTTCCTGGCGGCAGACAAGGAAGCAGAAGGTGTGAAGCGATGGTGCTTGGCATGCACGCAGGCACAGAGTCCTCAGGAGGTCGTAGGAACCTGCCCGCAGATTGCAGGCACAAAGTTGACACTTCATCAGGCCCAAGCATGACAACATCAGGAACCCGATAGCACAGGCATGCGTTAGGTATTTTTGGGCTGCCTCGTTTGAAGAAACGTCCCAGCTGCTCGCGCAAGTCGTCCCCAGAAATTCTGGTCAAGCCCATGTACACGACCTTCACATGTTTCTGCATGCATCGTTCATACGGTTCACCCATTTGCCATGCCTGCGGTGTGTCGGCCATTCGAACGTGGCTGGGCAGGCCACGGCCCACCACAATGCCCTCCTGGAAGCTGGAATCTAGTGGATGATTAATGAAAATGGGCTGACAATATGACAGAAACGGTTCTCTCGACTTCAGATATTTGTAAGCCGACCCATAGCTGCCCACGAAGCCCTCAGGCAGGACCTGCGTTTGGTAACCACAAAGCTGAGCCACGCACGCCACTGAAGGAGTACTCCAAGTCATCTATTCTCACTGACGTGTGATATGCCTGCATAGTGCAGCAGGTCGAGAGCCTTTGTAGAAGGCTTGAAGGATACCAGGTTATTCATGCAATTGAGCTCTATGGCTGCATCCAACAACATCTGATCCAAGGTAGATTGTCGGGACAACGCCAGAGTGGAAATTGTCTTTGGGCTGCAATATGAACACGGAACCAAATCGCAGGTTGAAGGGGGATCCCTGTAGTATCCTATGTCAGTGATGAACTGAAAGCTCTTAAAAGCTTCTACGGTGCAACATGCGCTCAAGGTGTTAAGCAGCCAAAAGCTTTTGCCGGCAATGCAATTGTGCATGTTACAAATTAAGCCACGGTTCATGTGCTGCGCATGCGTACAGAAGCAAGACTCACAGCTCACATGCCGCCTGATTAGAAGTGGAAACCTCAAGACAGCACAGCACCTAATGACCTGAACGCCCACTGCTTCGCGAGTCTCTGGGCAACAAACATCGTGGAATGGAAGCAGCCGCGCGTTGGACACTCCCCCAACCCATGACAATCATATAAACAATCCCCATCAAGGGTAACTACAATTGAGGGCGAGGGCCTTTTAAGAATTTCTGCCACCATTGATTAGCACATGGGCCTGAAACGTAACTCATATGCGTGTGGGTCGAAACGCCCCTTTGTCGCCCTCCTCCCCGCCCTGTCACAAGCCGCTATCGCCGCCCCTTCTTTCATCCCTTTGTCGCGGGCTTGGGCTGAATAGACGAAGTCACCAGGCGCTTGTCACCAGGGATAATGGAAAAGAAAATGGAAACTACAGACATTATAGAGGTTATATGGGGTTATAATGGGTTATATAGGGATATATTGGGATATATAGGCTTATATTGGGATATAGGGTAATAAAGCAGAATCAACCCAAGCCTCCCGTCTCGGGAGGCTGCCCAAGGCATGTTACAGGCAGCACTTGTTTTTGGAGCGCTCCACGGATATGTAGGGCAGAATTCTACAGGGGGCTTATGATTACCCAAAAGTGGGTGGGATGATAAGCCTAAGCCCCAAATCCGAAACCCTTAATCCACCCCACATCCCAAATCTTATAGGCGCCCTTAAGTAGATGGAATATAGCTTTGGCTAGATTAGAATAAGATCCCCATATACCGCCATATTCTATCTACTTAAGGGGGACTATACTCCCTAAAACCTAAATACTAACTTCCATTTTCTTTTCCATTATTCCAATATAACCTCAATATAACTATCTATTTAAGGGGGAATAAACCCCTAAACCCTGAACCTGAAATCCTTAACCCTACTAGATAGCGGGCTCCCAGGTACCTGGAAGCCAGGAAAGCCAGGACCCAGCTTCGAGGCCTCAGATTTTTAAGTTTTTTAGGATTTTGAAGTTTACGAGTTTAGGGTTTTGGGGTCAGGGGTTTAGGGCTTTACGTAGGGGTTTTGGGGTTTAGGGGTTTAGGGGTTAGGGGTTTAGGGGTTAGGGGTTTAGGGGTTTACGTAGGGGTTTTGGGGTTAGGGGTTTAGGGGTTTAGGGGTTAAGGGTCTAGGTCTAGGGTGATGGGTATGCCTACATTAGGGTATAAGGTTAGAGAGGCCTACATAGGCTCATAGGGATATGTAGGATTATAGGACATGTAGGGTTTAGGGTTACCAACAATTAGGGCTACTACTTCAATACAAGAAAATGGAACATGAAATTGAAACTGGGATCGTAGTAGTAGCTGACAAAGATGCCCTAAATCAAATTCTGAGGGGGCCTGTCTTCCGGAGTCCCTCTACAAAGGACTGCAGCATAATGGGGTTTGCATCAAACCCCCTTTTTATGGAGACGAATCCTTTCCCCCTAATATTAAAGGGCTCAGTTCCCCTTGTGTAAATACTCCGTACCATATTTAATAGCGGGGGGGTAATGATCATACAATCCGAACATTAGGGCGTTCATAGAATGGGCGTCCTCTTGACATCTGATTAAGATCCTATAAAACTCGATTAAAGCAAATAAGGGACTATTTCAAATCAGTCTTGAAATAGTCCCCTATTAGGGACTACTTCAAATTAGGGCCTGGTTAGGGACTATTTCAGGTTAGGGACTTATCAAGGACTATTTCAAATTCGGGCCTTATTAGTTACTATTTCAAATTTTGGACTATTTCAAATTTGAAGAACCTCATTAAGAACTAATTCAAATGAAGGCCTTATAAGGGACTGTTTCAAATTAGAGCCTGACTAGGGATATTTCAAACTAGGGCGTCATTAGGAACTACTTCCAATCAGGGCCTTATTAGGGACTATTTCAATCAAGGCTTTTTTTAAGATTATTTCAAATTAGGGCCTTATTAGGGACTATTTCAAATTCAGGCCTTAATAAGGATTTTTTCAAATTTACGGCTTTATTAAGGAGTATTTGGGCCTTACTGCGGGCTATTTCAAATTCGGGCCTTGGAATCCGTTTCTGAAATTTTGTATATACATTCCTTTATAAACAATTCAAGAACAATCAAAATCTAGGAAATCAAGGAGATCCCTAATCTTTAATAGTCGTGGTTCGGACCCGCCCTAATTCAGAGGATCCGAGCCGCAATTAACTTTAGTCTTGGGCCTTTTAAAAATAGTCTTGGGGCAGATTTCAGAATTTGGAAAACCCGGAATTCACATCAGGGGGTGGGTTGAATATTAGGAGGGAAGCGACTACGAAAGGAAGGCTTTATGGGAGCTTTGTTTGTCACCCTGAACCAGGCAGGGGCTTATTGCTACGGGGAGGATGATTGGGGAATGCCAGGAGCGCAGCGGAATTTACAGCTCTGAGGCAAGCATGACTAGTTTGAGAACTGCCCCCACCCTTTAACAGTCTAAATTATGGGTCATATTAAGGGCTACGAATAACTATATCCTTAATACTATCCAACAGGGTGGGGGCAGTACGCAATGTCTAGATGCAAAGTTCTTACAACCAAGGGCACGTGGACAAAACTGATGCAAAACCCACCTCCGCAAAGCTTCAGAAACCTCGACAGAGGCTAGCAGTTCTGGAGAGAGAAATTGCCCTGGAGTGCTCAAGTACCCGAGGAGCTGTCTGGAAGCGCATTGCTGCTGCTGAACTTCAACCCCGAAAACCTAGACCTTTAGGGTTTAGGGCTGCTTCCCTTTGAGCCCGCAGCTGCCATCTCAATGCTGTACCCTGCCGCCCCCGGGTACAAAGTTTGCAAGGCAGCCGGCCTGGTACCAGACTCAGCTGGCTTGCCATTAAGGAACTTAAGTTGACTTACCATGAAAGGGTATATAGTAAGAATAGGGTTTCCTTATTGAAGAACCCAGTCTCCGGGTGAGATGTCTGGGCACAAGGAGGCATGCCTCAGGCGTGGGGGGGATCGGACTTACTGGAGGTTAGTGGTGAATTAGGAAATGTGATCCCTACATGGTCCCTATATGATATATTTCCCTGTTCCCTACTGACCCACAGTAAGACCAAGGATAGGCAATGTTTGCTGGAGAGCAGAAGGCTCGTTTTCGAAGCTCTCCATGTTGCGAGCAAAGCATTACGCTAAGAGCATGTCTCTTCTACTCTTGCGCCCGCTCCGCACGCATGCCCTTCAAGGCATCAATGGAAACGATGCGTGTGAAAAGGATGCCACGTGTCATGTTCTGGGGCGCTATATGAGCTAGAGGTCCCTTTGCAAAAAACGTAGGGAATTTCCTTGCTACTCCTGTCTTCGAGCATGATTGGCCAAGCCCTCACGTTCCTGTCTACTGAGGCGAATGCCTTCTAGCACTGGCATCTCCGGCCGATAGCAAACTCCCAGCCAAACTCTCATTTGGAGTCAGCCCTAGGGCTAAGTGCCCACATGAGTTGTCAGCATGCACGGAGCCCAGCTACGACGTTCCACAACCCTTTTTGCTCAAGCTACCGCTTGATCTATCAAGCTAAGGTAGTTTGATTGTTGATCGTTAACACTTCACGCCCAAGCTCTCAGCTCCCAGAAGGCTACGTGATAGCAGCGCATGTGGTATCCAGAGATTCAGCGCTTCGAGTTGATCTGGCTCTGACCCTCCTTGCGATAGTCGATGCAGGTCGCACACTTACCTAAGCTTCATCATGGCTCGGGCTGCAAGATGTTGGGGGGCGCTAGGCCCGGAGTCTATGCAGAGCAGCATGTTGCAGCCAAGAGTCAGTGTCCTTTGGTCTTCCCACACCAACCCAACCTCAACATTCAGTCTGCGCAATGGCAAGCAAATTTTGCATGCAAGGCCTTCTCAGCAGGGTCCATCATGGCTTATGCTGACTCAGGGGACGCTTGGACAGCACAGCCAAATCATGTCCAGACCCCAAGACTTATGCCTTCGTGCCTGGCAACTACCCTACGGCAAATGGCCTGTCGGCGTTTTTGATTCAGACAACTAAAATGAAATACAGGCCTCGAGCAAATCGAACCATCCTCTCATTTTATCTTGCTAGTCAGGAAGCGCGCTGCAGCAGGGCGTGACACTCAGCCGGTCGCACTCCACCACCTCCTGAAGGGGATGGTAAGTCGCTCTTTCGGCAGCTTTGCCATTAGCCTGATCTATCACACGCTACTTTGGCCCGATCGATGCTCCTTCCATGGAAAGAGCCAACAGAGCCAAAAGGGGGGAAAGGGGCATTCATCGTATCCAGCTGCCGGCATTTAAAAAAACAAGGAGAATGCTTGACGGGATCATGACGTGTCTGCCTGAGCAGGAACAGTATCCAGCGGTAAGGCACAATCAACTATAAACGCCAATGTTTTTCCGAGAGCCACCG